TCAATGTGAATGCGGGCTTTCAGAATGGCGTATTCTAGTAAATAAAAAATAACGTATTCTAGTAAATTACTAGAATGCGCAGGTTACGCTTACGCAGGTTACGCCGAATGTAACGGCATCCTATTGCTAGATTCATACTGCATCCGATTTGCGTCGTACGACGCTCTGCAACCAATCAGAAAACAGGATTCCGATGATACGAAGCAAAATCCATCGGAATCCTGTTTTCCGATTGGCTGGAGAGCGTCATACGATGCAAATCGGGTGCAGTGTGAATCCAGCATAACTCATAATGCATAGTGTATAAGCGAATCAATTAGTCAGAATCTTTCCTTTCCTTGCATTCCATAGAAAAGAAAAATTTCGATTGATTGATTCCTTTATACACTATGCATTACGCGTTATGCAAGAGTCTGTGCTGTGGCCATTAAGCCGTAAGAAATGGACGAATTATAGTCAATTATTCTTCTCGAATTCGACTGTAATTGGTTAATTTTTTACGGCTTAAGGCTTAAAACACGTATTGTAGATCCGGGTTTAAAGATGTAGTTTAATGGCTGTTCTACAATGTGTTTTTTGTTTCCTGTTTCTTTCTGTTTGTTCTCTTGCCTTTTTGATCAAGAAGGCAAGAGACAAACACCAAGAAACAGGAAACAAAAAGCACGTTGTAGAACAACTATATTTGTCTTAAATACGCAAATTACAAAAATGTCTTTGAGTCTGGATCTACAATAGGGTTTTAAGCCTTAAGCCATAAGAAATGGTCGAATCACAGTCGCCTATTCTTCTCGGATTCGACTGTAATTGGTCAATTTCTTATGGTACGTTGCCACTGAGTGCGTCACGCGTCGCGTCATGAAAGAGAGGAAGATATAAGATTATATAAATACACAACCCCTCTCTTTCTCTCCTTTGACGACGTGACGCGTGAGTGCTCAGTGGAAACTCAGCCTTAAATCACCTATTAGGTGCTTTCCATTTGGTGACACAAGTCGACACAAATGTCATTCTATCTTTGTCACTCTCTGAATGTCAACAAGGATGGAACGACGTTTGTGTCGACTTGTGTCGATTTGTGTCATCAAATGGAAAGCACCTGTTGTAGATCCGGACTAATAGATCCGAACTTAGACCCTGACTGTACATCACTGAACTCTATACTGGAATGGGCATCTAGGAAAATCGTGGCCGCGACTGATCAGTCGCATCTTGGCTCGATCAGATGCCTGAGCAAATCAGAAGCTTTCAGGTGCTCATGCGCACTTACGTTTAGTGTTTTTTAGTAAAACGCAAATTGTTTATATATGTTCTGTGCGCAAATGTCAGCAAGACTGTTGTGTGTGAGGTTATATTTGAAGAATTATAAAATCGCGTGACTGTCTACAAAGCATCAACATGAAGTGCTGTGTGCCTGGGTGTAGGCAGAAAAGTAAAAAAGGCGGCCTTTCATTTCATAGGTAACAAGTTTTGTATTAAATATTAATTCCTGCATATTGTGTTAACGATGTAGGATATGAAGTGTTATTTTATTGAATGTATTAATAAAATTGAAGTGACATTTTTGTTTATATACCATTCATGTCCATATAGATTTCCATACATCGATCAATACATCGATCGCAATCATAGTGGAAGGGATAGCACTATCCCTTCCACCATGATCGCAACGCGCGCGCGAACGCTTCTGATTTGCTCAGACATCTGATGGAGCCAAGATGGCGACTGATCAGTCGCGGCCATGATTTTCTATGCATCACAGCGGAGATGCCCATTCCATAGAGTTCAGTGCTGTACATATGTAATAAATTTGATGCACACTAAGGGTGCCGGCACATGCGGCGTAACCTGCGTAAGCGTAACCTGCGTATTCTAGTAATTTACTAGAATACGTTATTTTTTATTTACTA